GTCCCAAGGTACCCAGTTTGGGGTGTTGGGATGATCCCAGGGTGCCCAGTTTGGGGGGCCTGGGTGGTCCCAGTGAGACCAGTTTGGGGTGTTGGGATGATCCCAGGGTGCCCAGTTTGGGGGGCCTGGGTGGTCCCAGTGAGACCAGTTTGGGGTGTTGGGATGATCCCAGGGTGCCCAGTTTGGGGGGCCTGGGTGGTCCCAGTGAGACCAGTTTGGGGTGTTGGGATGATCCCAGGGTTCCCAGTTTGGAGAGTCCGGATGGTCTCAGAGTGCCCAGTCCAGGGGGGGCTGTGGCTGCTGGGAGAGGGAAGAGTTGCCCCAGCTGGGGGTGGGGGCTGATCCCATTCCCAGACCCCCAAATCTGGGGGGTCCTGGGGCTGTCAGAGACTTGGGAAGCATCGGGTGAATTTATTGTGCTGCAGTCGACCAAATCCATACAAAACCATACAAATCCATACAAATCCATACAAATCCATACAAATCCATACAGATCAATACAAATCACGATCAATGGGGGGGGGGGCACCGTGTGACCCCAAAACCCACCAGCCCCCCTGGAGCTGGTGCTTTCCCTGCTCCCCCCGGGGTGGGTTTGGTTCCTGGGGGGCTCCGGGGGTCCCCAGGCAGGGCTGGGGGTGCAAGCGGTGCCCCAACTCCCGTCCCCATCCCTGACCCCCCGTGTCCCACCCCCCTCTCCCCTCCTGTGAGCCCCCCATTCCTCCCCAGACCCCGCAGCCACTGCTGTGCCCAGACCCCAAAACTCCCCCGGCCACCCAGAGACCTCATGGGGATGTGACAACGCCCTGGGTGTCCCCTGTGCCCCCAAAAGGGATGTGACAATGCCCTGGGTGTCCCCTGTGCCCCCCAAAGGGACATGACAACACCCTGGGTGTCCCCTGTGCCCCCCAAAGGGATGTGACAGCACCCTGGGTGTCCCCTGTGCCCCCACAGCCGGGGGTTCTCCCTGCTGGCCCCTTCGTGGAGGGTGCCAACCTTAGGGGGTGTTCCCTAAGGACCAGCCCTGCCCGTGGCATCTCCGGGTGCTGCTGGCAGAAGGAAGAGCCGGAAGGGCTTCCCAGCCGTCCCAAAAAATAAACACAACGTCCTGCGCCGCACCCCACCGGGCCCGGCCCCGCCCGCGCGGCCCCGCGGGGTCCCTGCTCCCCCCGTCGTCACCGCAGGACCCCGAGGGCTCGCCATGGGAACAGTCTGGAGGAGGGGGAGGGTCCGAGGGTCCCGCGGGGGCCGTGGGGGGACACCCCCCCCTCCCCTATTGCAGCAGCTTCGGCAGCTCCACCTGTGGGGAGGAGACCCCGTTACTGGGAGCACTGGGACAGGGGGAATGAGGGGATTGGCCCCTTCCTCCCGCGTCTCCGGGGACGTCCAGGGCAGGGGGAGGGAGGGACTAGGGGGAAATTCTTCCATGGGAAGCTGGGGAGGCCCTGGGATGGATTTTCCAAAGGATGCCCCATCCCTGGAAGTGTCCAAGGCCAGGTTGGATAAACTTGGAGCAACCTGGGATAGTGGAAGGTGTCAGGATGGGAACTGGATGAGCTTTGAGGTCCCTTCCAACCCAAACCATTCCAGGATTCCAGAAAACTTGGAGCAGAGTGGTTTGCCCTTGGAGCAGCTGGTACAGGTCACTGTTCCTAAAAGAGCTGGAGAGGGGCTTGGGACAAGGGATGGAGGGACAGGACACAGGGAATGGTTTCCCACTCCCAGAGGGCAGGGATAGATGGGATATTGGGGAGGAATTCTTCTCTGGGAGGGGCTGGGATGGAATTCCCAGAGAAGCCATGGCTGCCCCATCCCTGGAAGTGTCCAAGGCCAGGTTGGAGCAGCCTGGGATAGTGGAAAGTGTTGGAATTGGAACTGGACGGTCTTTAAGGTTCCTTCCCATCCAAACCATCCTGGGATTCCATGAGCTCCTTCCCTTGGTCACGCTGGTTGTCCCCGCACTCCAGCCCGAGGACAGGGACACAAAACCCCGGGAGTGAGGGAGGTGTTCCAGGGCTCCCTGTTGGGATCAGCATTGGAGATGCAGCTTCTCCCACCTCCCACCCCAGGGCTGTGGCTCAGCTGGGCAGCAGGAGCTATGGATGGCTCCTTCCTGGTGCCCCAGCCCCTGGATCCTCGTGGATCCATGCCAGGAGCTCTGCCAAGAGATGGATCTGCCCCTTTGGTGCTCTGCAAAGGGTTGGATCTCCTTCTGCTGGATGCTCTGCCAAGGGATGGATCTGCTGATCCCATCTGGATCTGCTGATCCCACCTGCCCTACAAGGGATGCTAAAGGATTCCTTTGGCCCCCCATGTCCTTGGCAAAGGGATGGATCCCCCTGCACAGGGGTTGGGACCCCCGTGCCCGTGTCTGGTTGGGACCACAGACCCCCCATTCTGGAGGACAACCATCCCCTCTCCACTGCCCGAGTGACAACACCTGCACCCTCACCCCTCACCCAGAGCCCACCCCCCAAAAACGGGCCCCTCCGGAGCCCCCACTTGCCTTCTTGAGCTGTTTGAGGTTGCTGGAGCGAATGGCTGCCAGGAGCTGGTCCCGCGAGTTCTTCTCCTGCGCCGGCAGCGCCCGGTCCCCCAACTTCCTCTGCGTGGCTGGGGACAGCGAGTTCCGCAGGTTCTCGTTGATCAGGGGTGGGGCGAGCGGAGGGGGTGGCGGGGGCGGCGCCGCGGGGGCCCCCCCTGCCTTGGGGGAGGTCTTGGGGGAGGTCTTGGGTGACGGCTGTGGGGACGCCTTGGGGGACCCCTTGGGTGGCGCCCCGGCCTTGGGCACTTGCAGCAGGTCCTTCTTCTCGCCCCTCTCCTGCGCCAGCTTCTGCTCCTGCAGGCGCCGCTGCCGCTGCCGGTCCATGTTGCGGCTCAGCAGGTTGGTGACGGTCATGCGCGGCCCCGCCAGCTCGAAGTGGTAGCCCAGCTTGAGCAGGGTGGTGTTCTCCTTGAGCAGCTTGGCGATCTCCATCTCAGTCTTGCCGCCGCAGATGTGCCGCTGGTTGTGGAAGCGCAGCTCGGTCAGGGTGTCGTTCTGCAGCAGCGCTCGGAAGATGGCCAGGATGCCCTTGCCCGTGATGTGGTTGGAGTCCAGGTTGATGCTGGTCAGCACCTTGTTGGACTTGAGCATGATGGAGATGGCGAAGGCCACGTGGTCGTCAGCGCGGGTGTTGGCCAGGGCGAATACCTTGACCACGGTGTTGAATTCCAGGGCCTCGGTGAAGCGCACCAGAGTCTCGTTGTTGATGCAGTCGGAGTTGTTGACGTTCACCTCGGTCACCTCGGCGTCGTTGTTCTTCACCTTCTCGATGAGCTCGTCGAAGATGCTCGAGGCCTCGTCCTCCTTGGGCGGCTCCGTGGCTTTGGGGGGTCCCGCCTTGCCCTCCCGCTTCTCCACTGCCGCCTTTTCTGCCTCTGCCCGGGGTTTCTCCTTCTCCTCCACCCTGGTTGTTTTCCCAGCTGAACCCTTTTCCTCTTCTTTTTTTTCTTTGTCTTTATCCCCTTCCCCTCCCGTGGCTTTCTCCGCCTGTCCCTTTGGTTCTGAGCTCTTCTCCTCCTCCTTTTTGTCCTTCCCTGTGTCCTTCTTGGATGCTGAAACCTTTTCTTCCTTTTTGTCCTTCCCTGTATCCTTTGCTGCTGAGCCCTTTTCTTCTTCCTTTTTCTCCTTCCCTGCATCCTTATTCTTTACATATGAGCCCTTCTCCTCCTTTTTATCCTTCCCTGCCTCCTTCTTCAACGCTGAACTCTTCTCTTCCTCCTTGTGGTCCTTCCCCGTGTCCTTCAGCACTGAGCCCTTCTCTTCCTCCTTCTTGTCCTTCCCCATCAGCTTTTTCTCCATGGCCTTCACTTTATCGTTCATGGCTTTGTTCTCTTTGCTCTTGGGCTCAGGCTCAGCTTTACCTTTGGGCTCTGTTTTCTGAACACTTTCCTCCTTTTTGGAGTCTTTGTCCACTTTGGGGTCTCGTTTCTGGGCCAGGTCTTTGGGGGGAGTTTCCTTTCCCTTTTCTTCTTCATTTTTGTCTCCTTTGCTCTCGCTCAGCTTGGTTTCCTAACGAGGGAAGAATACCTCGGAGTTACAGAGACAGGAGTTTCCCACCCCGGTCTCACTGCCCCCAGGCCTGCCCCTCCATCCCACAGGAGCGTCCTGGAGCCTTGGGAAGCGGAATGTTTGACGCAGCCAAGGCTCCAGGGAAGGGTTCCTCAGAGCCCCGTGCAGCTCTCCAGGGCACCTCTGCTCTCCTGCTGCCTCCAGCCCCTTCCCGAAGGGCTCCAGAGCTCCAGAGCTGTGTCCCATGGGAACCCGCTGAGCTGCAGGAGGCCCCTCTTGTCCCACCTCCCATGAGTTCTCCTTGTTTGAATCCCCTTCCCAACCAGGGCTGGATTTAGTGCCCACCCCCCTGTGAGCCCCAGGTGCTTTCCCACCTTTCCCAAGCGGTTTCCAGCTGGATTCCCTGTGGGTTTGCCCAGTTTGGAGCCCAACACTCCCCACACCGGCCTGACCACGTGTCAGGCAGGGGAGAAGCCACAGCCAGACACACGGGTGACACTGCTGTCCCCAGCCCTGGGCTCCCCAAAATCAGCCCCCTGGTGGCACCAGCTTATCACTGAGCAGAAAACCAAGGAAATGGGGACATGGAATTTCTTGCTTGTAACGCCTGAAGTTCTCCCAGCACAATCTGCTCCTGGTGTCCAAAGGCAGAAGAGGAGGGAAGGGCTGAGCTGGGAGGGTCTGGGAGAAGGGCAGAAGGAATTCCTGGTGATTTTTCCAAGTCCCTGACCCTTGGCATAGCCTGTCCTGGGAGCTGCTGCTGGACACAACCAGCACCAGCAGCTCTGGGACATGGCAGGGAGACCTTGGAGCCCCTTCCAGGGCCTAAAGGGGCTCAGGAGAGCTGGAGAGGGAGTGGGAACAAGGGATGGAGGGACAGGACACAGGGAATGGCTTCCCACTCCCAGAGGGCAGGGAGGGATGGGATATTGGGAAGGAATTCTTGGCTGGGAGGATGGGGAGGCCCTGGAATGGATTTCTCAGAGGATGCTCAATCCTTGGAAGTGTCCAAGGCCAGGCTGGAGCAGCCTGGGATAGTGGGAGGTGTCCCTGCCCATGGAATTCTGTGGGACACCCCCACTCCCCCAGAGAGGAGCCAGTGCTCCCAACAGGTCCCTGAAGGCAGAGGAATCCCTGACATCCCTGGGATCAAAGCTGCTGCACAGAGAAGGATCTCACCGTAAATTGCAGTTTAACCCCTTCCCTGCTCCCCAACCCGGGAACACACCGGCCCTGCCCCTCCTCCCCGACCTGCAGGATCCTGGGATTCCCGGGAAAGGAGGAGAGAAGGTGCCTCTGGGAGAGGCAGGTGATCCCTCCCTGGACCCTCTCAGGGGCAGGACAGCACTGTGGCTTCATCCAGGGCCTGGAACCCCCAAATCCAAGTCCAAACACCCCAGGGTGCAGCTGGGCTGGTGTCCTCCTCCTCCTCCTCCTCCTCCTCCTCTTCCTCCTCTTCCTCCTCCTCTTCTTCATCCTCCTCCTCCTCCTCCCCATCCCCATCCCAGGGCTCCACGGTGTCCATGCTGGGGCATCTCTGCCTTCCCAAAACCCGGCTCTGCTGGCCCTCAAGGCCTGGTTTTTGTGGAGAGAACAGGCTGGGCTGTGGCCAGGGCAGCCCTGGGCACTGTCTGTGCCTGGGGGATAAACAGATGCCACTGGAGAAGTGTTTGTTTAGTTAAGAGATTTCTTGGCTCCCCTGCAAGGACGAACAGGCACCAGAGGGAACGTGCCAGACCCCCCCAGTCCAACCCCAGGGACAGGGATGGGGCTCCCAGGGGTGTCCTGGGGGCTGCAGGAGCAGGGGATGCCACTGGGTGGGTCCTTCCCGCCAAGACATTCCCAGAGCTGGGGTGGAACCTGCACCCTGGGGACAGTGCCCAGGTTGTCACCCCCGGGCAGTGGGGACACTCCTTCCCCCTGCCCCGGGACCCCAAGCCGGGCTGTGCCCTCTCTGCGGCCATCCCTGCCTGCTCCCGGCTGGAATATTTCCCCTGGATCTCTGGAAACCAGCGCCCTCCCACTCCATCCCCAGTGCCACGGGCACAGCTGGGAGGGAATGTTTTTCCCTGGCGGGTCAGACCTTCACAAATAAAGCCGAACACAAACAGGCCGGGCCGGGCCGATGAATCACCCGGGTTGGGTGACCCCAAATGCCCCCCGGCCCTTCCCGGCCCTCACCGGCCCTCTGCGGCTCTGAGGCCCTCAAAGCCTCAAACCTCCCGATGTTCCCTTAAAAGGCAAAGGAGACTCGTGAACTTCTCGCCTGGAATCCGAGGGCTCCGAGCGGGGCCGGGATGGGGATGGGGATAGAGCCGGGAATGGGGATGGAGCGGTGGGAGGAGACGGGGGGGGGGGGGGGTTGTCTGGGATCTGCCCTGAACGACACGG